TACTGTATTTTGCGAAACCAGCTCTTCGAAGACTCTAGCGATATATAACTTATTTCTTCCGATTCGTAAACACAATTCGTAGATACACAAACATTTTCGAAAGATCAGTTAGAACCAGCTGCTTTCTTGAAGGCATATGCGGGAAATTGACTATTATGCAAATCATTAACCGTCATTTCTTTCCGCTAAAATTTACTCGCATTTCCCCTTTAACCACTCGTTTGAAGTTAGCTAGGCAAAAGAAACATGATCAAAATGAAATTATTATTCTGAGAAACTGTTGCATCCTACTGACTTTTAGAAACCTCTCCATAGGGTTGCACGCCACGTGTAATGACAGAGAAGAAAGTTGTTTTAATAATTTTGTTTCTAAATGATGTCGCCTCAGGGTAAAGATATTAAGTTCCGTAAGTAGTCATGCTAACAAAAATTAATCAATGGCCATTGCTACACTTTGTTTATTTAGCCAGTTTACAAAGATTGAGGTCTTTGTAGAGCGGAAGCATAACAGAAGTGGCTTCGCGATAATTATAAATCCGATATCGATGGAAACGGGTCTATCAATAATGGTTTTTTTTTTTTTTTCCCTTTGTCGATATTAGCGCATACGCCGCCTAAGTGGTGCAAAGCTGTAGATCGTTCCTGTTTATGTCATAATCCACAAATTGTTATGAATGATATATATAATTTTTTTCGTCAATAAAATTGAGCATAGTAAGTCAAAAAACTTTGTTTGACTGATTTGGATCGTCAAAAACCAACTGGTTTCTAAAACTTGCAGGAAAAAATCTGAAAACTAGGGGAAAATATAGGCTAAAAATAATGACGGTTCAGTTTTAAAATGTTTGTGAAAAAAAATGGTTGCCATCGTGAAAACAAAGAGCTCCATCGATATTCCTATCGCTGTTTTGCAAGAAAGTCTACTTTTGCTTTCGCATAAGAGACATTTATTTAATCAAAGCCTTGAAAACACCGATATTTTTTTTTGTTTGTTTGTTTCACTTCTTGCTCATAAATGTAAACGGTTTTGCGTAAACGCTGTAATTCAGACTACATCTTCTACTGTAGCGAATATTAACGCATGATATCCAAAGACTCATAGGAAAATAAAAACACTCTAGCTGAACCTAGCTGCCTCTTAGCAAATTTTCTATAGCATTTGATTCGCCACAAATTTACCTCGCCTGTATCACTGAAGAAGGCTTCGTTGATTGTTATCTTTTGGAAATATTTCATAGGTCTCACACCAAGTGTTGCTTTGAGCTGGAAACAGCTGTTTATTGCAATTGCAAGCATCTTATGCGGGAAAGGGATTGTCATGCAAACGACTGACGTCAGTTGTTTCCGCGAAAATAAGACACAGTATGCCTTTTGTAGCCGTTTAAAATTGAAATAAAGCAAATAAAACTGGCAAGAAACTATTCCATAACAGATTTTCCAACTCTTTTAATATAATAACGAGGAATACGTGGGATGCATAATGATAAAGGGAAAATTAGATTTTTTTTTCTCGATGATGTATCCCGAGGCTAGAGGTATCAACTGCGGAGGACGGAAACTGAGAATTCACGCTGCTCTAAGTATTAATTACTGACTAGTATTTTTTGTTTATTTAGCCAATTAACGGTCAATTTATTTTTTAGGGCCCAAATGTTTTGGCTTGAGAGAATTACGCAATTAGACTATAATGCTTTTAACAGATCTATCTGAGATTATTTTTTCCCTATTATGAATTGATACCAGCTAAGTGGTGCAGAGAGGTAAAACGCGCCTGATTATTTCATGCACAAGTGTTTTCAATGATGCTTTATTCCATTCAATTTTCGTGAATAGCGGGGATAAGAATTTAAGATATGTTGCTTGATTAGCGGATTTTCTTTCTTTTTTTATAAAAACTACTCGAAATTTTAGCCTCCTTCATTTGTTATTTTCATGACAATATTTATTGCTACATTTACAATGACGAAGCACCATTCCTATACTTTGTGGATAAGAATCGTGCATATTATGGTAACAGTGACAATTTCTTATGCTAAAACACGCACATGGTAGTTCAAAATAGTCTTCTGATTGGATCTTTCCTTCAAAATTACGGGTTAATTACAAATAGCTAATAGAAAACGTTTTCGCATTAAAACAACCTGTTTCAGACCCTAACGGGTTTCTGAAAATTTTAAAGTCAATATTCTGAAAAAAAGAGACAAAGATGATCTTCGAATAATGACGGTGCAGTAAGCACATCTTGACTGAATGAAAGTTCCCATCGGGAATTCTTAGAGCTTCATCAATGTTTCCTGTCGAGAATATTCGAATAAGTTCAAATGATTTCGATGGCAAAAAACCGGAAATGCTTCTAAACCTTGGTCACCTTGCATTTTTATAATGGTTAGGCGCACTGCTTCAACCGGCCAGAGGGTGTGTTATTTCGAAACTTTGCTATTTTGAGAAATAGATGTATTTTTCCGTGTTTTCATAGCCTTATCGAAATGCAATGACGGCAGACGAACCCGTGTTGCAGTTCTCACGGATTTTGAGAAGTCTCCTTGGCAACCCTCCCCTCGGTTGAAATTATTCCTGACAAATACACGCGAATCTAAAACAATACAAACATGTTTACATACTCACGCTTAAACAGACCTATCGACCTCGAATAAAAAAAAAAAATTGGGTTTTGGACAACCATTAATAGCCAAGCTGAATGGCATGGAATAAAACTCGAAACATCAAAACGAAAAGAAACAAGCGAAACCACCGAAGCGACCAAACGGGAGGATCGAAATAAGCGAACCAAACGACAAAAAAAAAAAACTATCAGAACGACCGAAAAATATACAAAACACAGTCAATAATTAAATGAATACGCAAGGGTGTCAGGCGTCAACCGTCATATTCGTCTCCTTTCGTTTATGGTCAACTCTTGATCTACCTCGTCGGGCCCTCTGCTCTCTCAATTACATCAAGACTTACAAGCTCATTAAGTTTCTGTTCTAACTTGTCCCTCATACTGAATGGCACACGACGCATAGGTTGGGCCACTGGCTTAACATTCTGATCGATAGGGATATCCAGCTGAAAATCCTTCAATTTTCCCAGCCCCTCGAAACATGATTTGTACTTGTCAAAGATATCTTCCTGTCTCAAAACATTAACTCTAACCTCCTCTCCAAGGTACAAGACATTCAGTTGTGTAGCTGTTTCTCTTCCTAGTAATGCTTGGCCTCTTCCTTCAATAACAGTGAACTCTGCCTCTACAGTGACATTTTGTACCGTTACGGTTGCAACAAAACAACCAGCTGTTTTCAACGGTTCGACACTTCCGTATGGGTACAGTTTCTTATTGGATTTCATAGATGCACACTTCACTTTATTCTGCTTTAACTCTTCCCACAAATTGCGATCAATCACATTACAGCTAGCTCCCGAGTCGACAATCATGGCAACATTGGGTACACCACCAACATTCACCTGGACCATAGGTTGTTTCCCATCAACAATGGTAAACGCGTACTCACTATCTGGACTATCCTCGGAGTTAATCTGATTTACTGATCGTTTGGTATCTCTTGGCCCTCTTGGCTTCTTTCGCCAAGGCTTCTTATCATTTGGATCTTTTGCCTTTTTAGTTTTACAGCACTTTGCAAAATGGCCTACCTTGTGGCATTTCCGGCATTCTTTGTTTCTTGCGGGACATCGCTTGTCATCCTGAGTGTGTCCTGACATGTCACATCTGTAGCATCTCTTCCCTTCAGTTTTCTCTTGGACGGAATTTAGTCCTTTTGTCAATCCTTCATTTGGGTTCTCAATAGCTTCTGCTTGTCTGTCGCTAGCTTCCATAGACCTTGCAGTATTTTGTAGTTGCTCTAAGGTCAGTCCTCTTCCTTTCTCCAGAAGTTTCCTTCGCAAACGACTAGACATACATTTTTCGATTATCTGATCACGAATATTTTCATCCTTGGCATCACCGAATTCACAGTATTCTGCCCTTTCACGAAGCCTTGTGATAAACTGATCGACGCTTTCAGTAGGGAACTGAGCCATAGTTCGAAACAGATGTCTCTCGTAGGGGACATTGACTTGGGGCGTGAAGTATTGATCGAGTTGTTCCATCGCTACTGTGTAAACAGTTTCACCTTCGCCAGGTTCTCGAGCTTCTGGAAACGTGTAGTAAACATCTTGCATTTGTGGACCTCCACAGTGAAGAAGAAGAGCTTTCTTTTGCGCTGCGTTTTTTACTCCTTTTCCAACGATGAATAATTCAAATGATCGCTTCCATTTCTTCCATCGTGCTCCAACAGTTGTAGGATTCCCGTGAAGATCGAAGCTAGATATTCCACCTAAATCAGTGATAATTGCGGCAGCCATTCTCAAACTACAATATAGATCCTTCAATCAGTGGTTTTCCTCGTCGCCAGTTGTGGTATCCCGCCCGGATGGTTCGGATCTAACCAATAACACTCGGATTAAACCAACGCACATTAACTTAACAGTTTAATAGTGGACAACGTGTTCTAACAACAACTCTCGCACGCATGCGCCAATGGGTAATACACTACACTAAGTGTGCTAAAATTGGACTTGAGTCACCGACTCTTGTTGGCAAATTGATTTATTATTGTCAGATTAAAGACATATGAAACTAGAAATGGCAGGTACCGTTTATTAAGCTTCATCTATTTTCATTAGTTTACTTTCCAACGGCAACGCCTATATACGATTCGTTCAGTTTACGTATAGTCCTGTCATAAGTGCCGCTGACATGTATTGATGACGCAGTTTGCCATACCATGTGCGTTAGTAGTTTTTTAGTCGGTTTTGAAGAAACAATTAACTTCCAATCGTTAGATAGATGTATGTAAATCGTCGTAGTTGTTATTACATTACAAAGACGCATACGAGTTGTTGTGTTTATTTCGCCAAGCCGGTAGATGGCCCCTACAGCCTATCATGCATTTTATACACGTAAAACATGAATCATTTCTAAAGTGATTAATCGTTAAAAGTCACTTTGAATTGCCAGTTTCATTCCTGATGGAATTATTTCTCACCAGTAATTCATGGAGATCCTTGTACATGCACCCAACAACCACTGACCCTAAAATGAACAACAAGCGGTCAGTTTGAAATTTTCCTGGCAACCCCATAGGGGCTAACTCAGTTAACTACGTATCCCAAATCACTGGCTTAATGCGAACAACATGCATCAAAAGGAAAGAGATGTCTTTATTTTTAGAAGATAAAGTTCATTTTTCCATTGGTTTACTGGTGCCATAAACGACGAGTTTTTGACCGATCAGGGCACTTCTAATTTCTAAGCTATTTTAAAACTTTAAATGTTTGATAGAAAGTAAGCTGATGATAAAAATCAATTTAAATTCAAAAACGCAGAAGAGTATCCCGTTCAATTTGCTATCATGAATGGACCAAGTCTTTCAACGTATTTAACACATCAAAATAAGATTTAAATCCCAAAAAAAAAATCTATTTTATACAATCTAGAGTTCAATATGGGTTTGACACAAACCATTTTCAGAAAAATCCTCAGAGGAAATATTAACGCTGGCTTGCCATTTTTCTTCCTTGAGAAAGAAGTCAGTAGCATTTTGGCGGTAGCCTCTTTGAATACCCATAACTGACGGAAGAAGGAGAATATCAGCTGTTAGGTGATGATTGGTATTGTGAAACTACAATAGCGTATCAGAATTTTGTTAATATTCTAATTATATTTATTGTTGTCATTGTTATTATTATTATTATTATTATTATTATTATCAATTATAATCATTATTTTGTAGGTACATTGGCAGTACCACACTTCGATTCTTTAAACGCAATTCTGATTCCTTTGACGCAATCAAATTAATATTGTATCGTAATCATAAAAATAAATAAAATATTAAGGGGATGGAATACTCAAACAGCGGAAACTGGAAAAAACGTATTAACTCAGAGAATATACGTTTCCTTCAATTTAGTTTTTAAAGTTTTTTTTGCAATTACTTGCATCAACCCGAGAGACAAGAGACCAACAAGTTTAATGTACTCATTACTACTCTCATAAGCCTTTCAAAACGTCACTTTTATTATTTCTTTAGGCTTGACAGCAGATTGACCATTTTGTTCGTCACTTTGTCAGACTGTGATTGAAAAATAAGGAAAATATCAAAATTTCTAAAGAGAGGATGTTTTTAGCTCACCCATTTTTTGGCTTGTGGTCTTCGTGGATGGCTTCGTCTGGCTTAGATGGTATTTACCATAGTCTAGAGCAAACTCCTCAAAGGAGATTGCCACTTTAAAAATAAATTCTCGTATTTTTTCTTCTTCTCTGTTACTTAGTCGGCCTCTGTGGGATTTTGTGGTGTTCAGTAAACGATCGGTGAAGACTTCAAATACCCGTACAGCCTCCTTTAATGACAAGATTTAAATACTCTCAATTATGTAAAATGCAGTTCTTGATATGGGATACGATTGTCAGCCCTGAGAAAACCCGTAATTGTACAGTGTAGAATTATTGTATTGTTTTTTTACGCACGTTTCATATGAAAAATCAGCTGCTGATACTTCACTAGAATTTCACACCATTTGAAGAGATCATGAATGAATGGCAAGGCGATCAAACATTCTCAATCCAAGGTTGCTTATCGAGATTTTCTCGAATCGTGACTGCTAAAACCACCAAAAGATTCATATTGGTCACAAACAGTGACCATACATATTTTCCAGTAGTCCAAGTGAAAAGGTTGCTCTTTTTAGTGACCATCTGACCAATTGACTAACTAAATTTGCTCATGGATATGAGTTCCTTTTCTTGCTCTCAAGTAAATATGTAGCACTCAATAAGAAAAAGCATTTCTATCCGTTGGCATGTATTTTTTTCCCAATTGATCCGTGGTACTTTAAATTTTAGAACTTTACCATCCAATTATGTCAACATAAGGAGATAGAAATCGCACATCGATATCGTAAGAATTCTCAAAGGCAAAATTGCATGTAATTAGGATTAATTCCAATTTGGACTGAGTAAAACCTATAGGCGAGGTAAGAGCAAATTTCATCCGAGACTTGAGGACTCGATTTTAATAAGATTAACGGGTTATTCTTCATTTTTTTCACCGCCGTTCTTTCAATAAAGGGGCGCTGCTATTCTTTAGAACAGCTATCCATATCTAACGTGCTTTATTTAGTCTTTCTCCCTTATCTGAACACTGCTAAAACTTACAAACAGCTCTCGTCATATCCCTAAATATTGCAAATGCCACATCAACTATTTATTTAATCATGATCATGATAGATAAGTAATTAGTAAGTTCCTACCTTTAAAGAACTGTTTCTCCTGATGTCTATTCCATTAAGTTTAGAAATAGAATCATTTGCCTGTGGCGAGGAAAGACAGTAACAATTTCGATAAGATTCCTCTACAGGAATGAAGAGCTCTCAAAAATTTGCCTAACTCCCAACGTGTGGCCTCGTAGCTCACTTGATAGTAGCGCTCAACTGGTATCTGGGAGACATGTTAGAATCGTGTCGAATCCTGAATTGATAAACACCATAGAGCATGAGAGTTATAGCTACAAGGATGAGGACAATTATAATACATACCACATTCTTAATTACTTGTAAAGTCCATGACGGAGATGTCTTAGTGAGCGATGATGAAGACCAAGATGGTAACCTCGAAGATGGTGATGGTGCTGCCGTTGAAGATGATGATAAGGATGACGATGATGATGGTAATGATGATGATGATGTCGAGGAAGACAACAATAATGATGATAAAGGTGATGGTGAGAGAAAAGGCGGTGACGGTGTTTTCAAAGGAGCTAAATGTTGAAATAAAAGTTCATTAAAAGAATGAAATTAAGAGAAAAGATTGCAGAGCCATGATAAGGCGCGAAGAATTCGAAATGTGAGATATTTGGATTTTGGTATTTCATACACAATATATCAAGTATCCAATCGGGAAAAAACGAACAAAAAACCTTTAAGAATTTAATTTGTTAATGGTACTCACTGTAAGCTTGAGAATTTTTTGTTCCCTGCACTGTTGAGCTTTGAGCTGCGAAAACTTGAGTTGCTGTAGCCGTGGTAGATGTAATAGCATTTGAAGTGTTGCGTTGGCCTTTGGAAAATTTAATGCACGTGCAGCTTTTACCCACACCACAGTCAGTATAAAAGTTCCCCAACGACACGAAACTGTTACAGCATTGTTCATTCCCGGAGCATTGTGGCTTATTCTGAAAACTTATTGGCCAAGTTCTATTCATGTGACATGTGGCGGTGTCGCACGTCTGTACACACTGAACAGCATAACAATGCATGTTACAAACGGTTTGATATTCTTCGAAATGCAGACTACAAATTCCTATGCTGCATTCCTGATTACATGTTTCGGGGCTGCATGTTGGAAACCAAGTAAGTGCACTACATTTCAAATTACAACTACAACTACCAGTGTTGCATGTCCTTGTGCATGGAGTTACATTGGGACGGCAAGTGTTATCACCTAGGACAACGCCCAAAAAACAAAATACCATTATTTATTATAGGCATGGTAGTGTTAAAAAATTAATACCTATTATTATATGACTGTGTCTCACAAGGACTGGGAACTGCCGAATTCACGAATTTGATTGGGTGAAATCAATATTGAAAGCCGTCTAGATTTTCCCATCTAGACCAGCATCTAGACCGGTCTAGAAGAAAAAGGTACAAAGAATTTAAAAAAATTGGCATATAAGACACAGCCATATAATAAACATCTTATTAACCGAGCTAGGTTGGTCTGTATGGGAGAATCTTAACCTCGGTCGCTGGTACCGACCGAACGCAGTGAGGTCTGTACCAGCGACCTCAACCTCGACCTACGACCTCGGTCAAGAGTCTCCCATACAGACCTCCCGCTCGGTTAGTAAGAACTAAAGATAAATAGAAAAGTGGATAAGATCTTGGCTAATCCACGGTATGGCTTAATATCACTGTTAAACAAAAATTTTTATAGATTATTGTAGAAATGTGTAAGTATAAGTTAAAGTACGTGTGATATTAAACCATTTACCCCCTACGGGTATTCAACTAGCGTGAAGCTAATGGACGTCACCAATTATACACCAGAGATAAATTATACTTTGTTAGTATGCCCAGTATTCATTCCCTCTTCGATCTTTAGAGGTGACCCTTCTATGATTAAAGGGTGACTGCAAGTTGGCTTAACTACCCTATGTAGCAAGGCACTAAGGGATACGTTATCATATTCCTGAGTATTAAAAATTTATCCGGATAACGGCGTTGGTTTGTCCCATATCATTAATTCAACAGAAGGCATGGAATAAAGCAATGATAATGTAAATATTTAAGATTCAAATAATAGGAGGAAAGGAAATAAAGGAAGCCGACAGACCCTTCTCAAAAATAGACTTCAAATTTTGTTGTTAGCTAGGCTAATAAGTTCTCTAATCTGCGAGACGCAAGAGCTGGGAGAGTTTAGTGTCATCCATCCATTAACTTGTTATTGAATTTGCATATGTCTAACTTCAAAACCAAGCTAAAATTAAACCATCGTCATTTGCATGTTGGCGCGGGTTAAATCGGGTTTTTAGCCTAGAGATCATTATGCGTTGCTTAACTTGCTTCTTTACTGAGTAAATCCCTTGAAATGTCGTTTTTTTTTATTTTATTCCTGACTTCCTTATAGAAGCTGATGAGGTCGGCTCTACCAAAAGACACCCTAATCCAGAAATATTCTAAGCTCTAGCGGTCTCAGTTTCCGCTTTATTATTTTATTTTCAAGATTATACTGAAACCCATAGATTCTACTCCTAGGAGTATACTTGTAAGATATACTCTACGAAATTAAATATTCTAAGAAGAATGTTGATACTCACTCAACAGAGTTATTGATAAAAGGAGTGTTCCCCACATTTTACAATCAGCCATGATCATTTTTCCATCGATGCGTGGGTCAGGTTTTTTTTAGCATCACACTCAACCAAAGGCAAGCTTTTTACAAATTGGTATTAACTGTAGATTAGCTCAAAATTCCCTTCCTAGCGTTATACTTATGAGGTCGTGAGCGTCCTCTATTTAGAGCTATTTTAAAGATCTGTCTTTCTTTGTGTTGTCTTGTGCCACAGCCAGTCGCTTATTGCTGGCATGTTATGCGGGTATTTGACTGTCATTCAAATTATTGACGGCGGGTCTTTCCCTCCAAATTTAGTCACAATAGGTATTTTACACCTGTTTTGAACTACACCACAAATATAACAGGTATGGAATAAGCAGTTCAAGAAACTGTTTCATTGCAATTCTCATAACTCTTTCAATAGGCTAGCTTGAGATAAACAATAAAAAGCGTAAAAATATTTTTGCAAGTATATAGCTCTAGGCTAAGGATATTAACTAAGCGTCGACGGAAGGTATTCATTTTAATTTCAATATTGATTACTGATTACTAGGACTCTTAATCATTTAGCGAGTCGACGACGATCAGCTTTGCCGTCCCTTTAGAGCGCTAGCGTCAAACGTGTCGCCTTAAGACACTTATAGCTCAACTTGAAACAGGTCTGTTATAGAAGTTTTTCTTTCATCAATATTGGTACCCACTAAGTGGTGCAGAGATGTAGATGGTCCCTGTTTATGCCATGCACCACACGACGCATATAATTTTTTTTTCTTTCACTAGGTATGTGGCTTCTTTATTTTCAGTACATTAACGTTTAATTCGTTTCCTTTTCCTCATTCAAAATGACGAATAGTCAATGCTATACTTTGTGAATGAGATTCACGCAGAATATGGTGGACATCAATAATTAATTTGTTTTGTTTAAGGACGCACATCTTATAATTTACAATACTCTTCTGATCAGCTTTTTCCTCCAATATTGACGGTTTGATAACTAATAGCATATATAACCTCCTGTTTCAGACTACCCTTAAGGTTTCTCAAAAAGTCTGGAAAATACATTCTGGAAAAAAATGATAAAAAAAAAAAACTTAAAGTAATGACGAAGCAGTTTGAACAATTGTGTGAAACAAAGATTGCATTGTGAATTTAGAAAGATCTATCGATGTTCCTATCGTTGTTTACAAGTAAAGAATTGATGAATGCGATTTTCTTTATAAAAACCTTCGGAACAACAATATATTTTTTTTTTCGCGCGTGTTCTTAATAAAGTACCGTTTTGCATTAAAGATGCAGTACTAGTCCCTCGAGGTAGTTCTTTCAATTTCGTTCCCTTTTTTATCTCAAACTACGCATTACTATTTTAACTATGGTATCTTTAAAAAAAAAAATGTTGAAATGTTGAAACGCACGCTGGTTATTAACAAAAACGTGTTTTCGAGCTGAACTCTTTAGCCTGCCGAAGTATAAATAGTCGATCCTAACACGTTAACATAAATGACTCCTAACGAGTTTCTAGCGGCAAAAATTCCTTTAATGACGACTGCATATATATCAAGACGGTAAAATTCGTAAGAGTGAGATTTCTCCTCGATTACTGCGAACGGTAAACGGGAAGTTGTGATGTTTCGATTCGAAGAGACCTGTTTTGCAGTATGTCATTTACAGCAAATTGTACGACTTACTCTCTAAGTCTAACTCACATAGTCTTTTTAAATTAACCTACCGTATATAAGGGGGGAGGTGGTGAGGTTTGGGAGAGAGGTAAACCTCGTCTCTCCTATCTCTGCTCTAAAACCCCAAGAAATTGCACTCCCTTTTCATGATTTTTTAAGCCAGACTGATGCAAATTTGCAGCTGCCTCAGCTTAAAGTTGTGTTCTTTTATATAGTTATAGTAAACTAAACGCTCTCCTTTCCTTTTTATGAACGTGTTTTAAATAGTCGGTACCATTGCATTTTAGTAATGTGCTAATTCGAATTCAAAGCGATCGAAACATTTGCGACGATGAAGAATGTACCTCAGGATGAGAAAATATAAAGTATGAAAAACGTGGCTGAAGGGTAAAAATCTATTTTATTCCTTTGTTTTTAGTTATTTGGTAAACTATTTATCTACAACAAGTATTGATTAATTTGTTCCTTGTAGAGTTTAGTGTGCTTATCTAAACAAAGGATCAATCCGGATTACACCGCGGTCTTTAACTCTCCGACTCCATACTCTCTTCTTCTCGTTCCTATCCTATAATAGTCTTCCACATATCCCGGCATACACTACATTCATTATTAACAATTTCTTGCTATGACAATAGCAAGATGAAATGTTGTTTCCTGTTCGACTAGTAGTTTTATGTTTTGTTGAGGTTTCTCAACAGGTACAATAAAAATGACTTCATCTTGTTATACAAGCAAAAACGATGTCGCGTGAGAAAAAAAATTGAGAATGGAAAACAGAATACGTGTTAAAATCAAGTCGAACACTAAGTATACGCAAAGAAGTCCAACACTACATGTTACAAAGTTTACTAACATGTCTCGTATATTGTAGGGTAACATTAGATAAACTGGAAAGATTAACCATTTTAACTAGTGATGATTAAAATTATGGGAAAGTCTCGCAGCTTTCAATATAAGCATGCTGCTTAAACATACGATAGAGTGAAATTATTTCTTTTTCATCAAAATAAGGTAATTGCATCTTGTCAAGAGCTTAACCAGCACTAAAGACTGATGACTCTGAAAAGCTAGCTTACCATCGATTATATTAGTATCATACAAGAAAATAGTGTTTTTTGGAACTATTACTGTCTCGTGAACAGCAAGTACTATTCAACTGAACTTCTAAAGGTAGCTGTTACCTCCTTGTGGAAGATGTAGACAAATATCTAGCACCTTTTATTCTCAGCCTGTTTGATCCAGTTAATTAAACTGAGCGTTTTTTCAGTTCGAATTCATTTTAAGACTGCAGTTTAATCGCCTTTACACCGCCGATATCACTCAGATTAACCTGTGAGCTCTTCCTTGCGGAGTTTCCATTTTTTTAAGTGGAAAAACGGTGCTCACTCTTCTTTTGAACCGCTCTCTAATCTGCGAATAGACGAGGAAAGTAATCAGAAAAAAGCACTTAAATGTTTATTCAAGCTTTCAATCAAATTATCCATACTACATGTCTTTTTTCCATATCGAACTTACCTGGCTGTTTCACACATAGTGAAGAGCGAAAATTAGGAAACCCTTAAAAAAGAAGGGCCCTTTTCAAGATCACAATATACAATCGAACTTTACTAAATTAAACTTATTTTCTCAAATTTCTTAGATATGTAAATGACTTTAAATTTACGAGAATGAAAAACAAAAATAATAAAAAGAAAGGAAAGAATGTTTCCTTTTCAATGACTTTTTCTTTCTTTTTTCTTTATCCTCTAAGGTTTATTTCTTCATAATTCTTTAGCTAATGTTATCTGACTATCGCGACAATGTTTGAACATGAAGTATTAAAGACATTCGAAATGGAAGGCTATAAATATGAAATAAGAGGATTGAACACTAACCTGAGAAGAGTTGAGGATGGTGAAGATGTAAACGAAAGCTTTGTGTAACGGTGATAGGAGACCAAATAACCACGTGGCACCCAGTAAGGGAATCATCACCACGTATGCCGTAATGCCAACTCTGAAGGCGAATAAATCCTTATGCTTTACTGATATCAACTAACAACTTTAGAAGATGGGTGAATATCATTAAAGATCTAATTCATAATTTGATTTTGTTAAAATCTCAGACAGAAACTGTCCTTTTTTGTCATATTGTTAAAACTCTATCTCACCGAATTTGCTGAATTTGCTTGTCTCCTATTGGCTGCACTCTGGTCATCTCCCTTATCACTTGTGTGAGAATCAAAATGTTGATCTAAAGGAGAGGATTTAAATATAGCTTTGTATTTAGTGTTGCTGTTGAACACATAAATTCTTAAACCACAATAAAAAATACCAATGCCAAAAGAAAATCAATACCCGAAACTTACAACTTCAATCATAATCACGATTACAAGAAGTATCCAGATCAAATTTCTAGTTGAGGATATCCAACAGCTAAAGAAAAAAAGACAAAGGAAAAAGAGAGACAGTACTGCTAGATTGCAGGTTCACAATATTCCCAACCAGTCATGCGTCTGAAAGTGATATTCACGCATAGAAACTGTGGGTCGGAGGCTGGCCTAAAGGGACGAAGACCATATGATAAGGAAATATAGGTCAAATTAATTAAGACGATGATGAAGAGGAGGAAAAAAAACGAATAAAACGAAGCAATAGTCAATACTTGAACAAGTAGACCTAAAAAAAAACAGGAATTTTGAGGAGAAAGAAACTGGACATTTTATCCCTCTTACTATTCATCACTGGTATAGTTTTGTATCCCATCCTTTTTAGCAGCGAGGCTCAATGAAATGGCTACCATAATGACTAGGAAACCTATTATCAAATTTTTACGTTAATAATTATGATACAGTTTGGTGGAAAAATAATCCCTAACAATGTATGATGAGTACTACTGTACAACCAAAATACCCCATGACATGACGTGATAGACATGCAACTTTGTGTTGATGTTG